AGTCCACCCATCTTAAAGTGGCCAAGTTTGAACAACACTGATCTAGATCAACTTTATGCAATGTGCAAACAAATAAACAAACATTAAACTATCTTCTCTTGCATATCACACTGGTTTTCTAACTAAGCCACAATTGGTTGGGTCCACTAAACCACAAATCAGAGTTTGCAAATGATGAGGTCCATCCCACACTCCCAAAAGCAAACAAACCAGGTTACGGCTTAGCACGATGCGCAATTTGTATCCCCTCCCATAACGAAGCCCTCTAACCACACTACATTCCTCTCATTCATGAGCCGTTGCAGCATAAAACTTCCGCCAGCAGTTAGCATGGCGGCTCCAGCTCTTTCACCCGCCCCGTTAATCTTTTCGTACTTCCTCATCGATTTCCGGTTCAGCGGCCTTCGCCCTTGACAATGATGGCTGCTGTTTCTGCTCGGCGCCTACGCTATGAAGCCACTTCCGGTTTAGCCTTCCTCTTTCTCCCTTAATAAAGATGGCAGACGAGGCAACACGGCGGGTAGTGGCGGCGTTGCCGCTGCTGAAAACGAACGCGGGGCCGCGGGATCGGGAGCTGTGGGTCCAGCGGCTGAAGGAGGAGTACCAAGCGCTCATTAAGGTCCGTGCTTTGTCTACCGACGGGAGGCAAGGCCTTATTCCCGAGGCGAACGTGGCTTTTCTACCTGGTCCCTTCGCTTACGGTGGCTCCCGAGGGTCAATTTAAGCCAGGGCGCGAGGGTACTGTACTTCTGTTCCCTTCCCTTGCGAGTTAATGGTCGTGGGGAAGACGATCGTGGGAGGCAGCAGCCTTAAACCTAAGCTGGAGTTGCAAAATCCGAGATAGTGAAACCTTATAAACAAGGGCTCTCAGTTTCCCTCATCTTTATTTTCTTACATTTGAAAGCCAAAGGGTTAACAAGAAAACTGATGTTCATGAACCTTCACACATTTCCCTCATCTCTGTTAAGTTGAAAGGCTTTAGGCAGACATCCGGTCTCCTTAAGTGTCGAGGCCATAAAGATATGGGTGTAAGTGACCCCAATCTGCATTCTAGGAAACAATAAAATTCAGAAGATCAGAGGGGGTGCCCCCAACTCTGACTAGTAACCAATATAGGTCATCAGGAAGATAGGTTTCCCCCAATAATAAGGAGGATCCAAAACTTATGCCAATTTCAGCCAATCATTTGTTAATTTCTATAACTCTTTGTAAGAAACAAAGTCTTCTTTGGGTGTGATCAGGGTTCTTCTCTGTCTTAAGGGGAGACCCCAGCTGACTCTATGGGCAAGCTTTCAATAAAACTTTAAAATCTCAGCTGGTATTTTCGGGTCTGATCTTCTGCAGGACTGAATCTGAATTGAGGAGAGTCAAAAACTCTCAAATTTAGCTAACAATAAGACCTTGTCTGCAGAAGGCATCCCTTGTCGCTTTGTAAAAGGTCTCTGTTCCCTTTCCATAGTACGTGGAAAACAACAAGAATGCGGACAATGATTGGTTCAGGCTGGAATCCAACAAGGAAGGTACCAGGTGAGTGAGAAAAAGAGAGAGACCAGACTTCTTGAGTGACACATGGGGCATCTGTTGACGCTTCCAGATCCAGTGCTTGGCATTGCTCAGGATGGAGCAATGACCGGTTCTGACATCCAGAGGTCTCCCTTTGCTTTCTTAAAAAATAATGTGGGTGGCATATATAAAAACGGTGGTTTATCACTCGTTCCCCCTTTTTTCTCTCTCTCTAGGTGGTCTGGAAAGTGCTGGTACATTCACAACCTCTTGAAGTATGAATTTGCTGTTGAGTTTGAGGTGAGTTTTGCCCAAAGTATGATTTGAAGCTTTCATATTCCTTCCGCCCACTCCACTACTTTTCTTAATTAATTTGGATTCCTGGTCTCTCCTTCTCCAACCCAAATAAGATGGTTGATTATCCTTCATAAGGAAAAAAGAATGGGAATCTTGGACTAAGAGTTACTCCTCCCTGCAACCTTTATAAGTTAAACCACAATATATTTATTTGTTGGTCTGTTTGTTTAACATAGTCTAGTTTTGTAATTCATGTCTATAAAAGACGAAGAGGTTTGCAAGATGCTGAAACACCCCCTTTGCTGGTTCCTTGCAGCCCTGTTTAGCTTTCTCTGTAGATCCGGCTGCACCTTGGGAATATTTGCTGGGAAATCTTGGGTGCTAGCAACATCTATTCAGCTGAGAGATGGAATTCTCTGCAGGCTGAATGCTGGCTTGTTATACTACCTTGTTTTATCTGAATAGGGAAATCATAGCTTCATCTCAGTTCATGAATCAGGTCTGATTTTTTTTTCCTTTCATTGCAACTTCAACTAAAAAGTTTTTGGAACCAAAATGTGCTGGCCGATTATTCCTTTGAGAAGTTTGCTTAGATTCTCTTCTGTTTTGTAAACTCTCCAAAGACAGGCTGATGCATTTCCAGCTTTTTTCCCCCCTCCAACAGTGGGAATTGGATCATGGGGTTTTTCTTTCTTTCTGATCAAGTGTGTATGCGGTGGGAATGTGAAATCTGAATTGGCTCATGGTGAGAATTTTTTTCTAGGAATTACCTGCCACTTATTCCCTTCCTTTTGCAGATTCCAGTCACATATCCATCGACAGCACCAGAAATTGCTATTCCAGAACTGGATGGCAAAACAGCCAAAATGTACAGGTTAGATGTCCTTAAAATTTAGTCACTTGATCTGATGCTGACAGTGTCTCTTATGTTCTGTCAATTATATTCCCTAAATCTGGTCTCTCTTTTTTTCTTATAGGGGAGGCAAAATATGCCTTACGGACCATTTCAAGCCCTTGTGGGCTAGGAACGTACCAAAATTTGGGCTAGCCCACTTGATGGCCTTGGGGGTGAGTTTCTGGCATGTCAGGGGAGACCTGGCCTGAAGGAGGAGAATTTCAAAAGTGGGAAGGAAGGAACCGAGTTTAGGGCAGGAGCCACAGTGACAGATTTGAGTGAACAAGCAATGGTTCTTGCACATATTTAAGATTTCTGTGTAACGATTCCCAGCAGCTATTGCACGGGCAGGCTATGATTCTGGTTAGCATATTCTTCTCAGTCTCCAACACGTATGCAATGATTGGGGCTACGTTATTTGCCATGAAGGCAGGAGGGCCATGAAATCTCTGCTTCTCCTTTTTTTAGAACAATCCCTCAGAATGCAATCGTCATACCACTTTGAGAGTGCCAATATTTGGTTGAATAGTTTGGGGGGGGGGAATTTTACCTTGCACATTTTTCTATAGCATGTTTTCTGCCGAATAATTTTCAAGCCTATCTTTCCTTCCTTCCTTCCTTCCTTCCTTCCTTCCTTCCTTCCTTCCTTCCTTCCTTCCTTCCTTCCTTCCAGAGTGCCAATATTTGGTTGAATAGTTTGGGGGGGGGGAATTTTACCTTGACCATTTTTTTATAGCATGTTTTCTGCCGAATAATTTTCAAGCCTATCTTTCCTTCCTTCCTTCCTTCCTTCCAGAGTGCCAATATTTGGTTGAATAGTTTGGGGGGGGGGAATTTTACCTTGACCATTTTTTTATAGCATGTTTTCTGCCGAATAATTTTCAAGCCTATCTTTCCTTCCTTCCTTCCTTCCTTCCTTCCTTCCTTCCTTCCTTCCTTCCTTCCTAAATTTGTCACCACCCATCTCATTAAAAAGTAACTCTGGATGGTTTACAGAGAAGATAAAATCAATTAAAATACAATATAAAAGCAGTCTTAAATATTCAATAAATTCCAAGAATTGATGGTAATTGGCGGGTAGGTCAGGGAGTGTCATCAGGGTGCCAGCCACCCCCAGGATTGATTAGAACTCTTATTGCCCCACGCAAGCTGGCAGAGCCTGGCCTTTAGTCCTTTCTGGAAAGCCAGAAGGGTAGGGGCCCGCCACACCTCTGGATAGAAACTCGCCCTGCCTGACCAAACCACATTCTGATTTAACTGAATGGTCTAGTTCACCCAACATGCTAAGACAAGGACCGAGTTCCATAACAGGCTGAATTTGAAACTACTTACGTTGTACAAACTCAACTTGTGGCTTCCTTTGTCTTCCAGCTGGGACCTTGGCTGGCTGTAGAAATTCCTGACCTGATATCAAAGGGGCTGATTGAACACAAAGAAAAATGAAGCTCCTGTGCCAGTTGTTCTCCTAGGCCCCAGCGGTAACCCCAGATCCATCATATTGACTGTCATATACTTCTGTGTCTAATTTCTTCCTGTGGATTGCTAGCCAGTCTGTGCATTGTGTGTCTCTAATAAAACCAACACAAAAAGAATCTTGCCCTTCTCTAGCAATTACTTGCAGATCACCTAGACCAATATAACCCAGTGTATTTATTTAGGAGAAGTACTTTCATGCCTCTTTTTAAAGAGTCAGAGAACAACACCAATTTACATGCTGTTTTTTAAACTCCCAAAGTTGTTTACAGGGATATTGAAAGCGTACAGTACAAACAGCTTAAAACAGGACCAGGTGGATTGACGTCTGCAAGAAGACGTGCCAAGGTTTTCTTCCAAATTATGCAATAAAATATCATTCTCGGGCTGCGTGAAGCTGTTGAGGCAAGGAACGGTTGGGAGTGGATAGATGGCAGAAGCGATTTGTGCAAAACAGCTGTGACCTCGTTTCTGATTTGAAAATAGATTCTTTAGCATGTGCTCAGAGCAACTCTATTCTTAATTCCTCTTTTTTTTGTTTCTCAACCTAGTTTTAATTTTATTTGTGGCATCCATTGGTGGATTTCAGGAGTTTTGATTGTTTTAAAAATTGCATTTACCTGAAAGGAAGGCATAAGGTTCCCCCCCTCCAAAAAATGTAATGGGTGGGTCATATTTAACTTGCTGAGAACATAGTAAACAGTGAGTTCTCCCTACTGTTTTATGAAGGGGATTGTCTTAAATTCAGGTTTCTCTCCTTTGGGGAAATATTGATTGTTCAAGGTTGAAATCTTCTTATTCAAGGTATTGGGTACCAGTTTATGGTTTATCAATTATAGCTGATGGCTTAGCATGTACATGTTTATTGATTATTCAGTAAACCATGGTTCAATAGGATGGGGAAACCTGATTGTTTTTTGGTGTGAGGGGCGTGCCTTGCAATTTATATCTGGGTAGGCTTTAAGTACATTTGGGACTGTCCTTTTCCAGGAAGATGACACGAAACAGCTTAAGACAGGCAATGTGAGAATGGAGGTAAATGGATTTCTGGAAGCTGATCTGTTTACCATCTGCTGAAAGATGGGTTTCCTTTTGCTGGAAGGAGGAGCAAAGGGTCCAGAAGCATTGAATTGCAGGACCGTGAGAAGAATGCATGAATTTCTATCACTGGAAAGTTTGGAATGTAGCTTCAATCATTCAGGATAGTTTTGGAGCAAGGCCCAGAAGATCCTGCAACAAATGATTTGCAGGGCAGCAGAGATCACTGGATAAAAGGGGGAGAAGCGTTTTCATCCAGCCGAACCTACAGTTTTGCCCCAAATTTGGTGAGTTCAGCCTTTCCATCCAAAGCACGTTTGGACTCCTTGGTTGGGTATCCTTCATGCCGTTGGGAAGAACTGCTTGCCCTCTAAAAATCTCTAAAATCAGGAATAGAGGTCAGCGGTCCTACGGGAGTCATCTCTGCTTCATTTATTCGGCTGGGGGGTTGTGTAAAAACTAGACTTGGGACATTTAGGAGCAAGGGAGCCTCAAGATACCAAGCTCTTAATTTCTACTGGCCCTACTCAACGTGATCCGTGACCTCAGAGACTTTGGAAATAAGTTCAGCAATATCTGGAGGACTATAGGTTCTTTCCCCATGGACTAGTCATCTCTTCTAGATTAATGTACAGTGGCTATATACTGAATTTAGGACTTTCTGCAGGCCAAGTGTTTTTTCGCTGGGCTAAAGGCTTTTTCTGTTCTGCATTTGTCTGTCATCTTCCAAAAGGCAGGCTCTGCTTCCGTAAAAAAAATCCCTTGTCTCTCTGAATTCAGTTGGATTCATTCCCAGGTTTTGTATCGCAGCACAGCCTTAATGGTAACCTTGTGTGAGATGGGCGGCTATACAAATATGAATGAATGAATGAATGAATGAATCAATCAATCAATCAATCAATCAATCAATCAATCAATCAATCAATCAATCCCTCTTTGCATGTAGGCAGCATGGAGCAGGCAGGGCTGCCGCGTTGCCCTAAATTGTAGTACGATTTGCTTATTTCCTTTTCCTTTTTTAGTAATATTTTTAAATTGATGTTTTATGTATTTATA